TGAATCAACGCAAAATGCCAAAACAAAATTAATAGCCTTTCTGGGGAAATTGCCCCTTTGAGCTAAAAAGATTATCTTCAAGAAAGCTGAAAATAAAAAAGCAGGAAAAAAAGATTGGGCCACTTTGAGAACAGCACGACACTTTAGGAGACATTAATTTTTCCTCCCAAAGACCCATCCTTTAAGGAGTTGGGGAAAAAAAAAGAGGAAAAATATTTAAAATAGAAAGCAGATGTCAAATTAAGCATAGCAATGCATATCATAAAGATGAGGTAAATAAAGGTACAGTGAGGACTATACATGCTCTTAATAGAAAAGAAAATAATTATTGATAAAATATTGTAAGCAAAAGCTACAATATCATTTCATCAGAAGTACAGGCAATTATATAAAGCATCGGTTAGAGTAGACTGAAGGGTACCCCTTGTATTATTGCAAAGATGTTGTTTCATTTATTGCCAAGTTGTTGTTTCATTTATGTTGATTGTTGAGTAGTTGAATGTTCTGTACATCCGTAAATAAAGTCAAGGGAGTGAACAATGCCAAGTTTCTGCAATTCTCTGGTGATTTTTTAAGTGAAAATAGGTCAACGTGTACATGGATAAAGTCAAGGCAGTGCACAATGCCTAGTTTGTGCAATTCTGTGATGTTTTTTTCCATTAACAAATGTATTTGTTATACCAATGTTTTATTATAACTCTCTTGTTCTGATCATAATTTGTAATTTTTCATGTCGCATTTATGTAGGTCAATGTGCACAAACTCGGTATCCATGTGCCGCCAAAAATCACCAATGGGTACTCGTAAATATACTTTTACCAAAACATCACTGTGCAAGTAGTAATACTTTATTGATTATGCCAAAGCATTCAACTAGTTGATTTATACATGTATAATGGAGAGAAAATTTATGTGAAGAGGTCCTTTGCGAAATGATTAGCATACTTGATATAAAATAAAATAATGGCTGATAATAGAACATCACTAATAGCACATTTCCTTAGATAACCACTCCCATAATACAAATCTATTTAAGTAAGAGGTTATTCTCTTTGGAAAGTTCGATTGCATTTTCTACAAAAAAAGCACACACTGTTTTGCATATCATTACATTCGTCCATATCTGTGTTGATAGCAAAAACTGAATCATAATATTAAATGATGAGAAATATGCCCAAGGAAATTGCAATACAGTTTAACTAAATAAATGGTTGTATAATAGAAATATAAAATTGCATGTTTCCACAGGACTTTTATTAAGAAATAAGAGCTAAAAATTCAATAATAGTGGAGAGCATGCAGTTGTCATGAAAAATTTCATTCATACACAGTTTATGAGCACTGGGTGAGACAGTTTTGAGAAATAATAAGTAAGAAAGTTTTCTCATCATCATATTCAAAGACATTTTTTTCATATTTTGTACTTGGATCTGTTTGGGGAAAGTGACTGATTTTGCCATCAGTAAAAGTTATCCTGCTTAAAACAGTTTATTATTGTGTTTTCTGAAACATGGTTTCAAAATATGTATTTAGAAGATGCAGAAAATGCACCAAGGAGGTTAGTCCTTATTAATTCATTTGCACTTTCATCCAAATTTTCCACATTATGAAGAATACAGCTCACCTCACGAAGATCATATTCTTTCATCGCTCTATAAAAATTCCTTAATCACAAACTGGAATAACAGATATCATGTTTTCTGCAAGGAATAAAACTTCGGCATACTTTATGAAGTATGTTTTGTGACATGCAGTTGTGAATCAGATCAAAGGTAAAATTCTTTTCATCTTACAGTTTCTAAATTCATTCATTAAAAATTTCTGTCATCATCTACACCATACGTTATTTTTTCATAATTTCAAATTCATCAAGAAAAAAATCAAATACATTGCAACATTTTGCTCACATTAAATGACATAATAATTACAACAAACGATGAGTCAATTTCCCATGTTTCTGCACAAGTGCCGATGGAACATTGACATTTTGATACACTTAAAAACTCGCAAAACATTAGAATAAATTTTTATTTCAGAGGCAGAAACAATTTAAAAAATCATCACATCTGAAATTTAGTGTCATTCACTTCACAAATGATGTTAAATTATGCGAAAGCACAGTCATTTTACGATTAACTAAATTATCAACAGAAAAAATGCGTTCAAAATTCAGTATTAAAATAGTATTTTTATAATTAAACAGTTTCAGTGCTTTCGTAAGAGGAAAAAAAAAAACTCAGTTTTGTATCCCTGATGGTAATAGTTTTAAATCAATATGCACAAAATTTATTCATACCACTAAAAAAATTATATGAAGTGCTAACAGAGATATTAAAAATTGAAATTGTTTTGTTCTTTTATTTATAATACGTTTAGCAGGAAATAAATGTTAATTCAAAGAACACTGCAATGGAAGTTCTCACATGTCCTATCAAACTTTTGTCAGTGATTTTAACTGAATTATCACCAGAAGAAATTTATTAATAAGCGAACACTACAACAACGAATATCTAAGATATTCTTTGACTACAACAACGTTTGCACCCTAACAAGAAATCTTCGATGTTTGTTTACATCGCACGATAAATTGTTAATCTTTGCCATAATTCACCGCGAAACATGATAAAAAGCCAAATATTGTAAAGTTATGAATGCGAACGTATGGGGTGACAGCGTTTTTGGCTTGTTTACTTCGTTGATAAAGTTATTTGATTTGGTTGTTATTTGCTTTTCAGGGGAGGGCTTGTATACGTGTGCAGATTACACGTTAATACGTTTTTTGGTGGAAAACACTCTTTACAACCAGATAAAATAACTATTTTTTAATGAATTTATGTAATTTTCATACATAAATGTGATGTAATTTTACATTTATTTTTCATTTTACTGCTATTTTACATTTAAATTGAAAAAATTTCTCATTTTAAATCATTTTTATCATAATCTCCATTTTGTGTATGAGACTTACATCGTAGTGAGATATTTAAACTCAGTGTCATGTTTACCAATACTGAGTACCTGAATGATTAGTTAATAAATTCACGTATCCAACTTCATTCAGATGTTTTGGTTACTTTCTTTACATCCCAAACGTAATTCTATGTATTGAAGCAGCGTCTGGGTTAAGCTTTGCGAACTAAGTAAACTGATACATGCCTCACCGTGAGGAAAGAACAATTTCTCGACCACACTATGATGCAAACATCGAATGAGTGAGTGACATATTTCCTTCAGTGTTATTTAACTGATGCATACAGGTATGTGTGATGTAATTTAATTGATATAACTTACACATGCTTGAACCTGAAGGAAAACAAATCTGTGTATAATGCCAGAATACAAATAGCGAAAGAGTAAGTAAGATATTCGGTTCAGTTTTATTTAACTGCTGCATATGTTTTAATTTTGATTCCATATAACTTGTTTTTTTTATTATAGAGAAAGAAAAATAATTCAATATTGAACACATATTTCGAGTATAACAAAAGTATTTTAAGAAACAACCTGATAAAAATACATTAGTAATTAAAAATATTTAATTTGTGTACAGGCTGAATTGAAATTAAGATGTGGTGGTGTATTTAATTATGGCAAAGCACACTAGGGCTATCTGCATAATAGGTGTCATGCCTTCGTGGAGGACTTTCTCAGGGAAACTGGCTCGTATACACGTTACGCATGAGGAAAACCACGAAAACACCCATGCAGCCAGCCCGTTCGCGGGATTCGGACCGAACTACCAGTGTTCAGCGACTTTACCGCTCGGCCGCTGGTGGGCCGAAACTAAGATGTAGGGCAAGTTTATTATTATTATAATTGTGCGTATATGTGTAAGAAAATGTATTTTAATTGTTCCATTTTTAATGTATGGAAGGAAGAATAGGATGCCAATATCGAAGATTATTTACTATAGCAAATAATCACGTCAGGATAAATGTTATATAGAAATCTTGTTGAGTGTAAGGGATTATAAGAGTACTTTTAGATTATAGTGAAAATATACGCACTTCTGCTAAAATCTGAAGTGAATCAGTATGAAGTGACTTTTCACTTTAAAAAGAATGAGATGAGTATACTATTTAAAAGTATAATGACGGATTTGTAGAATTTTATAGTATTTAAATATGAATTTGTTAAGTGAAATCTTTTTATATATATTTTTGTTTGAGATATGTAATTTAAACTGAAATCACGATCATATATTTCTCATGGAATGTCAAAGTTCATTTGTATTAAAAAAAAAGTGCATGAGCAATGAAAATGAATAGAATAATACTTTTTGAGTATGTTTTTACCATGGTCTTAGCAGTTATGCCATCATGTGTTCTGTTCAACAAGATTTATTTAGTGCAAACAATACTACGAAAAAATATTGAAAAAATACCTTGTTTTACAATATTTTTTCCCTTAATTAACTTAAATATCGTTTTTCATTTTCTAATGCTTTCCTTTACGAAAAGAATTTAATGTTTACAATTATTTTCAGCATTCGTACGAATTCTGTGCATAAAATAAACATTTTCTTTAACAAAATACTTAATCGGAAAGTATATACCCGGTATTTCCGGTGTATCTACCACATATAAAATGATCATTTTGCTTTAGTTTACATTTTTTCCATTACCAAAATCATGTAGCAGACGCGTCGGCCGATGCGTCTTGTCTCCCGGGTGACGTCACTACCAGCAACCAATGGCACGCTTTTTCCGTTCCTGGCCTAACCTTAGTGTATTAAAGAACCTTGATTGTAACCCATCCAGAAGCCCGTGACGTCACGGTTCACTTTTCCGTACATCTTTGGCGTGTGTCTGTACATAATTGTGACGGACTACCTTCATTATACTCCGTGGACCAGGCTAACAAGTAGCGGCCTCTAGCGCATCCAGTTAGAATTCGCGAAGCACATTATTAGAAGAAATTCTGTTTTTTATTGTGTTTCTATTTACCGGCTAAAATATGTTGCGGGAGTTTGGATTGAACAACATGAATGTACAATCCAATTACGTGTACAACATGAATGAAATTAAAATATTGGTCCTTTTTTTTTTTCTTTCTTTCTTGAATATTAACATATGAACTTTAAACAAACGCTTGTTCCACATTTGTAATCTACTGTACATTAATATTTTATCCAAATTTAAACCGGCCTATAATTTTATCTTATCAGGTTAACGGAGATATTTATTCGGTATTTGTATGCGCAGTTTTCCAGAACATCGGCGTTGGAAGCGAAGAAAAATGCCTGCCAGAGGTTTTTGGAGAGCTTTAGATTTGAAAAAGCTAATCATACCAGCAGATATAATTTTAAAAAAAGATTGTATTGTTGTTATTGAAGGCATTAAAGCCATTGACGTAAGTAATTAATATGCATTAAAATAAAAAAAGCTGACTAATTTAAATATTACTAATGTACAATTAAGAAATTTCGTGTGAAAGAAACATCTGATCGTTTATTTAGATACTCAGCTATTGGAAACGTTTATACTTAATTTAAATTATAAAGGATTGCATTTTATACATATTAATAATTTAACTTTGTTCTGTTGATGCTAAACAAGCCTTAGTAAGTAATATAAAGGTAACTCCGTTGCTAAATTTCTTATTTTTGAGATATCTGTTTGATGGTTAGCCATTGATAATGAGATTTCCATGATATGCATATACATGCAGTACATGCTAAATTTAGAATAAATATATTAAAAAATAAATAAAAATTGCAGAAAATTTTTATAGTTTTCGTTTTTAGTAAGCATATTTGAATGATTCTCCTTTGAAATTTTGATCTTAACATTCCTGGTGTAGATTTATTCACCGTAGAAGATAATCAATATATTAAAGTGATTGATTATATATTGTTGACCATTAAGACTGCACTGCCAGGAAGGACATCAAGCCAAATTGTGCAAAAACATTAGAAAACGTATAAATGATTAAATGATTCCGATGCACATGCAAATTGTGTGTGCCAATTAATGTTTCTTGGAAGTAGTATAAGAAGGGAGAATGTAAAATAGCAATTTTGTTAGTATGGTATCTTATGCACAGACAACTAAGCATTGCTTTATTAGATTTTCACATCAGATTTTTATTAAAATCATTTTTTAAAATTACTTTTGATTTTTAATGCTGTGACATTATCATAGTTTCTCTATCTTTCTTCGGTTTTTACGGGGGGCTACTTTTTCTTCGGTTTCTTCGGTTTTTACGCTTTAAAGAACCATTTTGGTGCAGTTTGGCAATTTTATTGATGAAAAGATGAAGTTACTTATTGGGTGCAAGTTGGTGGACCATATGCCATTTTTAAAAAAGATTCCCAAACTATCGTTATTAACATATGAAAAGTCAACATACTTCAGCAACTTAAAATTCAATTTTAATTGTTAAATAAGGATTATGTGGTACATTAAAAAATAAAACATATTTGCCTCAATCTTTCTGTATTTTTCTTCCCACTATTATTCTCCCCAAATACTCAGTGATCTATTTTCACTAAAATAAAAACATCAGAGAGTTGCAGAAACTCAGCAGCATGCAAACCTCGGCAACACTGGCTATGTACTAAATCACTGGTTACTTATCTCCTCATTCTCTTTAGAGATTTTGAAACAAAATTCTGTATTCCTGCAGAAATTTTACTGAAGATTTCTATTGCTGGCAAATTCTGCAAGCACATATTTTAAAATTTTGTTTAAGGCAAAAATATGTATCATTCATATAAAACATTAGAACTTGGAATGAATATGAAAATGGCTATGTTGCGTGATTGAAGAACATTGTTGAAAATGGCAATATTGGGTGACTGAAGAACATTGATGAAAATGCCAATGTTGCTTGACTGTTATGAGAATGGTTGCCAGAGTTTGGCACATTCTGAAAATTTTGTGACTAAGTTGGTTGCAATAAGGTACAAGTCCCTTTCTTTATGTGTGTATGTCGGTTTATATACATGGCTTAATTTGTGAAACAGAAGGCTTGGTGCTTAAACCTCTTTCGGAGGATCCGCCATTCTATTCTTTTCATAATAATAGATGCCAATGATGTAAACTATATAAAATATTGGTAAAAGTTTGCAATTGGGTGCCCCTTGGTTTTTGGTGATTCTTTTTTGACATCAGGAAGTTACAATTTCAAGATGGCCACTACACAAAACCAAAATAAGAAATCAAATAATTGCTTAAACTTGTTCCATGTACACATCAATCTATTTCCACTTAAAAAAAAAATTGGAGAATTGCACAAACTCAGCATTGGGCACTGCCTTGTCTTTGTTCAGATACACATCGATCTATTATGACTTCAAAAAAATCAGGAAGCTAAAACCAAGTTAAAACTGTCATGGTAACCAGAAATTGTGTTTCATCACCAAAATTGAACAAAATTTGTCATCAATCGAAGCAGCACCCAATTCTACACTAGAGCCAAAATATTTTGTGGCTCTAGTGTAGAATATATATTGTTAAATAACATAATAACATACTTTTTCCCATTTAAAAATATTAAACAAAAATTACATTTTACCTTTCGATTTTATGGTTTCAGTTTATTATGTATCTTTTAAACTATAAGCATATCCATTTAAAACAGATGTTTTTTTCTTCGAGAAAAACTGAGTTGAAGAAAAACCTAATACTTCCTGATTTTATTACAGATCATATTAATTAAATTACATATATATGACCAAAATAATGCAGTGGCCGAGCAGTAAAGTCACTGAACACTGGTGGTTTGGTTTGAATCCTGGTGAATGTGCTAACGGCATGGGTGTTTTCTATGTGTAATGTGTAGTCATTCCAATTTGCCTTAGGAAGGTCCTCCACGAAGACATCCTCTCTTTTAGGCAAATAGCCCTCTAATGCTTTACTCTAATTAAATAAACTAAATAAACCAAAAAAAAAATGTGATTAAATTATTCATTAATTTAATAATAAAACATATGATCATACTTATATTAATTAAAAAATCCTCATATTCATATAACATCATAAGCTTTTAAATCTTTTCGTTACACAATGATAGAGACTAGTTGTGGAAGTTAGAGTTAATTTTTAAATTGAAGTTTCACTAAACGCTATTTATTACCAATGAGAGTGCAAGATAAGGGGCCCAAATCTGCTTTTTAAAGTATAAAAAACTAAAATATGACACTTATAATTTTATTCTTCCTTTTGATTTTATATTTTTAAAATCTAAATTGAAAAAAAAAATATTAAAAATTTTAAATATTATAAAAGGATTTTAAATACCCCAGAAAGTGGAGGCCTGGTGCATATGTAATTTTTGCCCATAATTTAAATCAGGCCATATTTATATGTATGTGTGTACACTCTCTAGCTCAGTGATTCTCAACTGGTGGTACACGTACCATTGGTTGTAGGCAAGAGAAAAATGGGTGGTATGCAAAGAAGCAAAGTATTTTAAATATTAAATTCAAAAATTAAATACTCCAAAATCCTGTATTATGTTTTTTTTTTTCTAACACTCGCAAATTTATGCAATCTGATTTTTTTTCAAGGTTTGCAAAATAATCCGTTTTTTATTTTTGCAAAATATTCATTTAGTTATAGACATAACAAAATTTATCATAAATGATGTTTTTAAAAGGAGTAATAAAAATGGATGTTTTATCTAATAGGAAATAAATACAAGTTCTTAAAAAAAGTTAATAGTATGTCATTAATTCTTTTAGAATTGAAAGATTTATTAGCATGTCTACACTTTATGTTGCCATCCTTTCCGGGCTCATATTGCTCTACTTTCAATTAGAATCATTTTTTTACATCAATTTGCTGTCTTTAACAGCAGGTATTTTGCCTTCTCGTTGCTTTGTCTTCCTTACTTTTCTACACAATTTGAAAATATCGACGTTTAATTTTGAAGGACTCGCAATACATTGTGCATTTAAATATTTGTGCAAAAATAATCTAACAAACCTAGATTTTCAAAATGGAAAAATGGTTAGAATTGACTAAGCAGAAAAATGATGAGGTGATAGATCCAGAAAAATCTAGGACTAAGAATATTGAAGAGAAAAGAAAAATTGTTTATAGAAAATATGATGAAAGTTATTTATCATTCGGGTTAACTTGGAATGAAGATGAAATGAACCCTCAACCTCTATGTGTTGCTTGTGGTGAACTATTATCCAATAAAAGTTTGAAACCATCATTTCTTAAAAGACATCCTAAATCTAAGAAGGCCAATTTAAAGGATAAATCTGAAGAATATTTTAAGAGGAAATTATTGGAGTTCAAAAACAGTAAACAAGTAATGAAAGGTTTTGTTACTTTAAGTGATTCTTTGGAAGCTAATTATTTATCAAGCTTGAGAATTGCCAAGACTGGGCAGGTTCACAATATTATAGAAAACCTTATATTACCAGCCGCTGATGCTGTAAGTCAGGGTTTCTTAAACTGTGGGTCGTGGGACCTGCAGCAGGGGGGCACCAAAAATTTTAGCAGTATTGATATTTCTTTAACTCATCATAATTAATTTTACAATTACCAAATATTTTTACACAATGTATCTGGAAATAGATAAAGGTAAGACAATATAGACAAATTAAAAAACGAAAACGTTCCGACGCATTCTTTTTATAATATAAACGTTCATCTTCCTTGCTTTGCACGTGATGCTGTCATTTCATCTGTTACTTATTTCAAATTTTCACATTGTTCTATGTCTTAAAATTAGAAACTGAAGTTAATGACCTAAAACTTCAATAGTATATTGCAGTACAAGTGAAAAAATTGACAGTTTCACTCACGCGTGTGTCGTATTTGTGCAATACTTATGGGGGTCCCACAAAATTTTTGTAAATATTATGGGGTCCTGGGGGTCGCGAATAAATCTCAGTGATAAAAAAGGGTCGCAAATGAAAAAAGTTTAAGAAATTGTGCTGTAAGTCAACGAAGAAATGGCAAATTCCATAAAAGAGACACTTATTCAAAAAAAAAAAAATAAAACACAGTGAATATTTCACATTGCAAATGGAAGAGTATTTATTTTTTGAATCTCTTCACAATAGAGCAGCTGCAAATGAAATTTTTAAAGTAATTGACAATTTTATGTCTGAGACTGATATTCCTTGGAATAAGTGCAGTGAGGGAGCTCGGGCTTTAACAGAAAAACATTCCGGTGTTACTTCTCAAATAAAGACACTCGCAGCTGAAACTGCATGTACTCACTGCTTCATTCATCATGATGCTTTAGTAGTCAAAACAGACAGTAAAAACCTGAAAATTGTTTTAAATCAAGCTGTGAAATTTGTTAATTTTATAAAGCCAGAGTTTTAAATTCAAGAACATTTATGATTTTATGCCAAGAGATAGGCAGTGAACATGGAAAGCTTTTGTTATATTCCGAAGTAAGGCAGAGTTTTAAATCGTCTTTTTGAACTTCGATCAGAAATTCAAATTTCCCTCTGTGAGTCAAAATTTGAATTGCAAAAATTTTTATTTAGTGAATTATGATTGGCATGTTTAACATATTTAGCTGATATTTTTGCAAAGATAAATGAATTAAATTTAAGATTACAAGGACAAAGTGTTAATATGTGTACTATTAGAGATAAAATCAGTGCTTAAATTGCGCCGGAGCTTCTAAATTTTTAAGATAAATTACAATTTCAGTACTTCTTTTTATAAAACTGAACCACAATTTAAAGGGAAAAAAATTAGAATTCCTAACGTTTTAGTTTAACAATAAGCAGACTTTGCAAAACTCTATTTCCCTAGAAATCGAACTCATGAGAACTGAGATGTTCAAGTAAAGTCCCTCACTCACATGCAGAAACCTTTCCCTTTAAGAAAAGCATAATTTGGGGAGTTTATTTAGGAATGCCTAAATTCTCGCCATGCGATTGTATGTATGTTGTTATCGATGCTTAAAGTTTAGTTATCCTCGTAGGAAGGAAATTAATTTTCTTAAATGCATTAAGTGACAGCGAATACATAGGTGAATACTGAGATAAACTGTTCATGCACATCTTATACATCGTCTTCCCATAGTATCCACTAATGGAGGGGGAAAGCGTAACCAGCAACTTTACATTTAGGCGTTCGATTCAGGTCTCATTTACCCCTGACACCCATCTGCCTGATGGCTATAATTATATCAATAGAGAGCCGCTGTTAAAGAGAACGTTCTCTCTCACTAAGATTATCCTCATTTTTTTGTTTCCACCCACTCATACCCTCATTCTCTTTTGCCCTGGAATTTTCATCAGCTATACTTTAAGTATATTTAATTTTTGTGATGATAAAAGAACTCCCCCCCCCCCCATGATCAGAACTTAAATTAGGCCGGATCTCGGCTCCGGTGCTTAGTTTTTGTAATAAATCATAATTTTAGCAGGAACGTACTGGAGCCCTGAATAAGAAAGCCGTGGCACTTCTTTTATGTAATTGAATAACAATTTCAGTAGAAATTTTATCTCGAAAATTTTATTTTAACAATAAAATTATATTAAAAGTCGTGTATTAAATTTCAATTTATCTCTTTACATTTTATTTAATTTAAGATAATTTCCTTCTTTGTGGAAGTCTAGGAAAGTGTTTCCTTAGTAACCATACGTGGAGATGAGGAGTAGTTGCTGTTTAATAGGCTTTTAATCAGATTAATCTGTATGAACCTATCAGACGCTAACAGAAATTGTGTTGCCTTCAAATTTGTCAATTGCCTGATGCAGATGGCAATTGACAGTTATAGGAAGTTAAATCAGAAAATTTGAAGAATAATTAATTTTATTCACTATTCTACAAAATTAATTTGACTTGAGTAGGTTGTAATGTATTTCAAAATACGAGATGAGTAATAATTTTAAGCATCTTGTGAAGATCATGTATCAGATACAAAACTAAACAGAATTTTATAGCAACAGTTAGAGGGAAAGTCCATTAACAACAATGTCATAAGAAAGAACCAATTGTGAAAAGTTTTCCTACCATAAACTTTAAAACTAGATGTATTTGTTGACACTAAGGTCTTTAGCAAATTATTTTGCTTTCTTACATCTTGTGATCAGAATCCACTTTCAATTAAAAAAGTGATAATGTCATTTTTAAAAGATACACACAGTCATATATGTCACTGCTTTTCTCTTTGAATTCACAAGACTTAATCGCATTTCTTAAGTTTAGCCCCATTCACATTAATGACAAGAGTAATCGAAGTTTTTAGATTTTAGCTTGCTAGAGAAATGGGGGTATAGTGAATTGAATGTGTGAAACTCCAAACGGTATGAATAGCATGGGAAGAGAATGGGAGAATTAGTATAAATCAAACTTTAAAATTGTGTATACATTTTGAAACTTGGCAATAAAATTAAATAAGAAACACTATTAAACAGAGATTAAGTGAAGGTAGATCAATTATTTTATTGTTTTAATTTGCAACATAACTCAAATTTTGTGCAACAATGACCAGTAAAATTGTCAAAATAAATCAACTTCTGAAATCAATCAAAAATACAGTATTTTGCGTAAAAATACTGATCAGTTGAGTGCACCTAAGCTACACACATTTTTTTCCTCCTCATCTTTTCTAATACGATTGCAAAGAATACCATAATATCTACAATAACTTTTTTTCATTTACTGTGAATTATATTTCATTTTCTGTCAACACTTTATGTATCCTATACTGAAAATTGTTACAACAATTACAAAATTATTTTATCTTGATGCAATAAATAGTACATTGTTAGAAAACAATCAAGTTAGTATTATACTGAAACACATAACTTGATATATGAATTTAGTTTATTAATTAGACATAAATTTTGTAATAGTTATATGTATTTGTAAATTGGTTTAGAATCCATATACCATTGTTTTTTTATAATGTAATCTAGAGACTAATTTAATAATTTAGGTTAAAATAAAGCGCCAAACAAATATTAATTTAGAAGTCAAACAACAAAAATCTGCTTTATATTTGCGAATTTTCACAAGACTAGTTTCGATGGTTTTACCAAACTATCATCCTCAGCTTCCAAAGTTCAAATGAACGAAATAAGATATAGTGAAAACGTAAGAATGGCTGGACAAGAGTTAAGCTGCTGGTGCAATCTATTCATGAAACAAGGAAACTAAAACATAATTTCTTTAAAGGCTGAAGGTAAAGATGGATTGGAATTAGGGTTGTTAACTAGAACAGAAGTCCTCTGTTGCCCAGCATTGTTTGTCCGAAGATCACACTTTCCATTTTTCTGCAGCCAAATTATTCAAAAAACATATTCCATTGGTGAATTAGATTTTCTAGGGGTGTTTCACATTCAAAAAAATCTTTCAGTTCTAGTCAACCACCCTAATTCTAATTTATCTTTACTTTCAGCCTTTAAGGAAATCATGTTTTAGTTTTCTTGTTTCATCAATAGGTGGCGCCAGTAGCTTAACTCCTGTCTAGCCATTCTTATCTTATCTTTTCACTACATCTAATCCCGTTCATTTGCACTGTGGGAGCTGAGGATGATGGTTTGCTAAAAACCATCGAAACAATTCCTGTGAAAATTTGCAAATATAATGCTGATTTTTGTTGTTAGACTTCTAAACTAATTTAATAGTCTAATCTGACAAATTTAAATTTTAATATTATAATTTTTTTTTATTAATAAGTTTCTATTTTATATCTGGGATTATTTCAGAAGTTAATATATTGTCAATTCACATATAGAAGTCAGTATTTACTGGGATGAAATTCAGGGAAAATTTCTGTTGAGAATAAGATGAAAATAGTGAAATTCCCTTCAAATGAAAAACATCTACAAGTTAAATGCGCCCTGTATAAAGACAAATAATTTAAAAATATTAGTAAAAATAATCAAATTTCCTCTTCTAGAATTCCTGTCTATATTTAAAAACACATATTTATATTATATTATTATTGAAATCATCTTTGTATGTTTAAACTAGTTTTTAGATCTAATATTTAACATTATGAATATCTAATTAATTAAAATAAATTTAGTAAGGTAATCCTACAGAATTGTTTTTAAAGTAACAAACAGAATTTAAAATATTTTTAAATTGCATTAAGTTTTATTATTTCAAAATGTATTTCTCTAATTTTATAATGTTTTTGTGTTGCGATAATATTGAAACCTGTTAGAAAATATTATTAATGATATGCTGCAATTTATAAGCATTTATTAATTTTATTTACTTCTAAAGTCTGCAAAGGTATTTTACCGAGAAGCACTACCTCCTGCTGAAGGTACTCCATCAACAATAAATGTACTTTTGTTGCATGGAAGAATGTTTTCTTCAAAAACATGGCTTGATTTAGGAACAATTCATATATTAGCAGCTATGGGATACCGAACTGTTGCTGTAGATCTTCCAGGTTAGTAAAAAAAAAATTTTTTTTTTAATTCTATGCCCATCTTCGTATTTCTGCCATTAGTTGACAAGCAGCCCAATAAAATGATGAGAGTATAAAAAAGCAAGGATAAAAATTAGCCTCCATAGAGTTGTTTGTTATAAACTTTAAAATAATAGGGCAGTTCTTGAGGTGGTTACAATCCATATCACAGAGGGCAACAAGCTGAATCCTTGACTCCAAATCCGATGTAAATGTTGCTGTAAATAATCATGGCCAGTTGTCAAAAGAAAGCAAGCAACTCCAACAGCCTGCAGTAAGGAAGTGAGGATTTTATTTCTTAAGCAGGATATTTCACTTCTTATCCATTGCTGCATCAACATATAAGGATATTATACTACAGTCAAAAGTCGTTAATCCGGACTCGTCGGGACTTCGGCGATTCCGGATTATAGATCATCAGTTTAAAATCTCGTAAGATGGCATGCAGAAATTCTAAAATTAAAAGTATGAAACCGTAATTTATGAAATAAAGAACAATTATGATCTAAAAGGGTATCAAAATTTGCAAAAAGAAAAAGCTTAATATTTATTTGTTTACTTTATTAAACATTTCTTTCAATGTAAGTTGTTTAAGTTTTGCTTCGTTTCATGTGATAATACTTTCTCTTTAATTCTATTAAACAGACATAATTTCTTGTTCAGTTACAAAGTTCAACTGTTCAAGTCCTATAATTGCTGTGTCGAGAATACTGACGAAAAAATTTCAACCAAAATTTTTTCGTTTTCAATAACCTCTGTTACTTTCTTTGCTATTGGAAGCGAATTATAATGACGAGGAACTTGTTTTAAATCATATCAAAGACGGAGCACATCGAGATGAAATACTACATTTGATAAGGAATTATAAGCCAAATAAAATAAAAACATCTGCTCTGAAGATAAGGATAGTGCTGACAGATCGACTTCCAATTCATTACGCGCCCGCCGCGGCGTTCCCCCCGCCGAGCAGCGTGAAATTGATAAAACAATTTTGGATTTCAAAACATACTTTCGCTTTAGATCCTTTACATATTAACAAATATATATCGGAAATTCTGTTTGATATAATCGAAAGTTTAAACTTACTTTTATAAAATTGCTCTTACAGTCTGCAAAAAATAATAAGCCGGATCCAATTCGAAAATTAAGGAACCACAACGCAATCATCAACATTAACTGAAATAGATAATTATTTAGCTTATACGTCCATTATACATAAAACGTGCACTCGAAAACGTATTCTGCACTTGTGCACACTCATATGTGCAGTCGTAAAAGGTCTTACGCGCACGCGTAAACGCCTATGCGCATTTGTCAATGCGGCACATGCGCAGAAAGTTTTCAGTTTTGAGGTCCGGATTATAGATCATTCCGAATTATGGGTGTCCGAATTAACGACTTTTGACTGTATTTTTCATTTTATTGTATATAATTCATTTAATATGTTGACTGCCCAACACGAGTTAACTCGTATTAGCGCTCTTCTTCAAAACGCCCAATATGAGTTATCTCATAGTTTCTTGACTTGCCACTTTGGCACCGCTACAAGTTACTTACTTGCTCAGTACTTGTTTTAGCTGTACTGAGGCGACAAGTCGAAACATGTCTGTACGAATCATCTCATAGTGGGCTTCTGCGAAGAGCTTTTTCTAACAAAAGCCAACTATAAGATAATTCGTAGGACTCTTTTCCCTCCCCCAAAAAAATCCTGTAAACTTTTTAATACTAATTATGATTAACTAATAAAATACTAATTATGATTCATAAAAATCATTACGAATCATAATTAGTATTTTTTATTTAATTAAATCGATTTGGCTTCTCGGACCGGAATCCGAAAAGTGCCGTGGCAGTCAGCGTGTTAATATTACACAAAGGGGAATCAGGTTGGGCCATAAGAGATCCGGCCTTGGAAAGTCTATTTGCACCCCCCCCTCTATTTTGAAAAATATCACAATGGCTTGGAATCCACTGAAGAGCAATGTTTTTTCTGATTCCCCTTAGTTCAAAAAGTTTTATTTTACAAGAATGAACCTGGGTATTTTCATTATTGTTAGAATTGGTAAGTGACAAAATAGCAGCTTGTGAGTAGATGAAAAACACAATATTTGGCTATATTTTAATTTATTACTTGCATATGTTATAGCTGCTATTTCTCCATCAAAATTATCATAGTACTTTCCAACAGAACAGCTAATATTAAAATTACTTAAATAGACTTCAGCACTGGATTATCTGCTGAACCATCTGTATAAACATGGAACCACTTGTCTAGAGGGTACCTGTAATGTATGGTAGCCAAAGCAGCATTTTTTAACTCATCACAGTGGAAAGGTGTGTGTTGACATTCCAAACAAGATCCAGGTGTTTTTCCAGATTATCTAAATTTAAAGCGGGACTCCACTTCTGTGAGAAAACCTGAAGATTGGGTGTAGGAATATCGTAAGTATCATAAAGATCATACACAGTTGAAATGAAGGATATATGAGTTTTTAGTCTTTCACTTGCTGGTCTATAGCAATTTAAAAATTTTTCTTTTCTTATTAAGATTTTTTCAACGTTATTTACAGCACTCCTTTTACTTAAAGGCTCCAAATCTGTCTGTAATTCCATAACAATAATAGGAGTCGATTTTGCACCACCAGTGATTAATCGCAATATGTTGTTTTGGAAAATATCCAACTTATTTCCAACAGAATCTGAAGTAGTAGTAAAAACCTCATTACCGTATTCAGCAATAGGACACACATAACTTTTATAGGATGCACACAAAACATCTTGGGTTGAGCCCCAAGTAATACTAGCGAGATGTTTCAGTAGTTTAGATCTAAAATGTCCTCGATCAATGGCTGCATTTATTTGTTTTTTTACAGGATAATTTTAGGTCTAAATGAATGCTCAAGTAAACATAATACAGAGGCTGTTCGCACAATTTTTAGACGATTTTGGTAAGCGGTAATAAAAAATCGTTTGCTGCAAAAGAAGTAATTGCAATTGTACTATGTTTTTAAAAGTCAAAATTATCGTTGTGACTTGAAAGTTTTGTTTTTATTCAAAATGGCGAATTTAACAAAGCAGTGGTTCGAAGGCTACATTTATGCTCTTTCCGAAGAGAAATATGCATACTTGGTTATCCAAAAATGATGTGAGAGTCATGGTTTTGTGATATCTAAAGCATCGATAGGTAATATCATCAACAAGAAAGGGGGAAAAAATGTCAAATTAGAGCCTCAAAGGGGACAAAAATTCCAAACAAGTATCCAAGGAAAAAACGGACATCTTTGACTATTGCAAAGGTACGTTGTTTAATGTTAAAAGAAAAATCCCCCTAGTCAAAGGACAGTTGCAAAATCATTGAAATGCTCAGTGTCCACTGTAAACAAAATGATAAACGTTGATTTAAATCTTAAGAAAGCGAAAAAACGCAATATGCATCGTCTTCTTCAAAAGCATATTGCTCAACGCAGGACACACTGCAGAATTCTATATGAGAAACAGCCAAAGAAATATGGAAAACAATTGTCACAATAGATGAAGCATGGGTGTATTTAAATGATTGTAACAAAAAAGAGCCATTTATTATCATAAAAGGGGAGGAAAAAATTTAAGTACATGGTTCAAAGAATTAAAAGAAAGTTTTTCTAAGGGATTCATGATTGTTGCTCGTTTTTCTTATAATGGCAGGTTAAAAATAAAGAGAGAGCAAAAAAATGTCAAGACCACTCCAAATACTATCAGGAACATATTTTAACGCCAATTTTTCTGAATGAAATACCATCGCTTTACCCACAGTGCCATCAATCTGTGAGACTCCATCAGGACAAAGCTAGCAGTCACACATCAAAATCCACTGTAAGTTTCCTAAAAGAAATGGAACAAAAAACTGGTATCAAGGCCATACCCTTCACTGATATCCCTCTTAAATCACCCGATGTGTCACCTATGGATTTTTGTGCTTTCGGACTTAAATGTTAATCCATTCATACAATTTGCCAGAAATCAGTCTTTTAAGCAAATCAGCTCTCCAAACTTTATCAAAAGCATTTTTGAAATTTAGGAATATAGCAATTCGCTTTCTCTGAAAGCTTGTCCTTTATTTCTTGAGATAAGCGGACTATTTGTTAGTCTTCGAAAACCCGCCTGCCTTTCAGGAATCGTACTAGCTTTGTCCAACACAAACAGCAACCTGTTAGCAATTAATCTCTCAGTCAATTTACATAAAATGTTTGTAAGAGAGACTGGTGATAACTATCCAAATTTTCTGCAGATTTGTTAGGTTTGAGAATTTGTATCATCATGGCCTTTCTCCAGACACTTAACAAACCATTTCTCCAAGTTTGGCTTATAAACTTCAAAAATACACGTTTTGCAGGATATCCAACCTGCACTTTCACCCTTCACTAAAGTACCAAAACCATTTTTCAGCGGGGCCCACCAGCAGCCGAGCGGTAAAGTCGCTAAACACTGGTAGTTCGGTCCGAGTTTCAAATCCCGTGAACGGGCTGGCTGCATGGGCATTTTCCCCATGCGTAACGTGTATACGAGCCAGTTTCCCCTAGAAAGTCCTCCACGAAGGCATCCCTCCCCTGAGGCAAATAGCCCTAGTGTGCTCTGCCATAATTAAATACACCATTTTTCAGCTCCTCTATACTAAAATCAGTATCGAAAAGATTTTCAAACCTTGATATATTTTTGTCTTGTATAGGTCTCAATTCATTTTTCTTTAAATAGGAGGTTTGAAATTAGTAATTTCAGCATAGTGTTTACAAAAAGCATGTGAGATGTCTTTATCAGTAGTAAGTTCTTTAATACCTATTTTAATAGATTCATTTCCTCACTTATTTTGATTTTTCATCTGAGATAAAAATCTGTGAGCTCCTATGCCATCTCTTCTAAAATCTACACCTTCCCAAAAAATTTTAAATGTGGAACACTTAGATTCGATAACGGATCCTTTTAATAGCCTGTACCTTACAGAGAGCTATACAGTCCTCCCTAAGTCCAGTTTTATAAACCCTCTGGCAAGCTTTATCTCTGTCATTCTTGAGTTTCTGCAAATTTTCATTCCAAAAAGGAGTATATTTCTTTGTTATGTTAGTAAAAGTATGAATTGTTACTGTTATGGCTTATATATTTTCTAAAGATAAAGTTGGTGTATATAAATATTAATCCCTATAAATATTATTCATATGTGTGTTGCAACACGTATAAGTAGTTTTTCTGTTTTGTAAAAATGACTATTTCAAAAATTTTATCTTGGTATCGTTTTATTCCTAAATAAATATGTATGTAATAAGCGGAATTGTCATGTCTGCATAATTTTGATCTAATTGTTAAAAATTCTTTCTGTTAATCATATGATATTTTGAAATCTTTAAGCATGCCCAAGATTTCTGCCTATTTATTTACGCAATGCTTACATAAATATATTTAAGCATAATTTTCTTCACATTATAATATATAATTGTACTGTCAAACAAAGCATGCTACACTTATTTACATCTCTTTCTATACATAAATGTCATATATTTTGACCATGCAAAAATTTATTTTTTCACTAACTTGACAAATAGTAATGCATTATATATTCATTATTGTTTTACAAATGTATGACCTTCAATATCTGAAGTAAAAAATGTCAGAGATTTATTTATGCCTTACTGTTATGTTAGGTTATGCAAATACACCTTCAGCTGAGATTCCAGATAAAGGTCATTTTCTCCATCAAATTATCCAGAGTTTTGACTTGCGCAATCCTGTTATAGTTAGTCCAAGTATGAGTGGATATTATGCATTACCTTTTTTGCTGAAGAACTGGAAATCCATGGCTGGTTATATACCTGTAGCGCCTGTAGGAATTGAAGTTTTGGAAGATTTGCCTAAATGTTCAGATACAAATTGTAAAAGTCAGATTTATGCTCCCTTACAACCTTATTTACATGATCCACTTCCAGATTTAAGCCACATTCAGGTAATTATCTTCCTTTTTTTCATTAATATGCATCAATAAAAATGAGAAAATAATGCCGTGTTACAGGGCTGCATATTATTATTTATAATTCCTTCCTTATACATAAGGTATACTCAAACGTAAAAACTCTTGGAGTTCTTACTTGCTGCTGTCATGTGAAATCCTATGAAATACAGCAAAGTACAGATATTGTATCTTTAAAATAGCACATCAAGGCTTTTCACCTCCCTTCTCCATTTGTGATCATATTATGTCACGATCACTTATTTTCTCTCCCTCATTTGAGACTGTAGTTCAGATCAGCCTTCATTCACATGCTTTTCATAAAGTGAAACATACGAAATGGAAATAAGCCGACTCAACCCATCTACCGTTCCCATGAGGGAAGCCTGATGGCACAAAATAACTTTGAAGTTTGTTTTAAAGTAACAAACTATAATTGATGGAAATCTCCAGATGTTAAGTTATACTGCTAGGGTAGCTGTGTGTGATTTTTCTAGTTTTCGTAGAAGATAGATTTGCACAAATAAATCCTTTAATTATATTCCATTAAATGCTGTATTGGGTTCATGTCTAACAAATGTGGTTTTATCAGGATTGCCCAGAATTTTACTCATATCTGTTCTTTACAATACTGCTCACTGATAAATGCACTTTTCTTAGGATAAATGAAGTTCATGAAGATCTGAATTGTGATCAAGCAGTTGAATGCAGTTATTCATATTTAACATGTTTAAGAGGACCAAAAGATCCAAATCATACCATTATGAAGGAACTACCAGCTTACATAATGTTTCGCTGACAGTCTGGATGCATACCCTCATGGAACCTGCACTACACCAACACTCTGTTATCACCTCATGTGAATAAGTGATTAGATAAGACTACTTTTTTATCCCATCCCTGCAGATCCAATAAATGCATTCATAAGCTCATGTATGATGTCTCATAATTTGTTGCCAATAAAGGTACTGTGGTGAGTCTTATGTTGCCATATCCCAGTAAAGTTGAATTTTCTATACTGACCTCATAGATATTATGGCATTGGAACAAAGTGCTAAAAGAATTAATTTATTTGTAAACAAAAATAAAACTAGTATATATTTACCTTGCTTTAAGTCTGATTTACAGCTTAGTCACTTAGAAACTGGCAATTATAAATTTGAAAAAGTTAACAGTTTTACTTACTTGGGAACAGAGATAATAAAAATGTTTTGGCCCCAGAAATATATTAAAGAATCATTGCTGCAAATAGATGTTTTTATGCCCTGAAGAGTTATTTAAATTCCAGCTTTCTTAAATTAAGAACTAAATTGCTTCTTTATAAAAGTCTTAGATCTGTCTTCACTTATGCATCAGAGACTTGAGCATTGACTTTACGTGATGAGGAAGCTTTGGGAATTTTTGAGCAAAAGATCTTGCGTTGCATTCTTGGTGGGGTCCAAGAGAATGGATTATGGAGAAGAAGGTCTAGAACTTTATAAAATCTAGAAGTTAGAACTTTATAAAATTTACAAACAAGCAGATATTGTAAAATTCGTCAAATTACAGATACTTAAATGGGCTGGCCATCTGGCTAGAATGAATGAAGATCGTTTCTGCAAGAAAATCTTTCTGTCAAAGTCCATGGGAAATAGACCTCGGGGAAGGCCTCCGCTAAGATGGATTGATTGTGTCAAAAAAGATCTTAATATTTTAAAGGTTAAAAACTGGAAAACGGTCGCCCAAAGTAGAGATGCCTGGAGAAGGCCAGGGCTCACGAGCCATTGAAGAAGACCTCAGATATACCTCTGATAGTTCATGCCTTAAATGTAGAAGCAATCTGGCACTAGCACTGACAATTCTGATGATGCATTGCTGGCTATGGTCATTAAACATCCATGCACAGCTATTGCACTGTTTATGCTGAGAATTTTTGTGGCATATTTGTAGATTGTGAAATAGTGATTGTTTGAATAATTTCTGAAAGTTCTATTTCATCAGGCTCTTTTTCAAAATCTGATAATACTTGCCAGCCTGACATAACATCTAACAAAACTCTAGTTATTTATACGAGCTTTTATTTCATGCAAGTGCCACCTGCAAATTTGTACACTGCTATCTTGAAATTCTTTAGCATTTGATTATAAATGTGCATGCATTTCTTTGGGAAGTCCTGCATAAAAGTACTTTTTTCGAAGTAAAATCATATGCATTTGCAAAATTAATTAGCTTATCTCAGTCATATCATATTGGATCATCTTGGCAATTTATAAATACACAATGCATTTATCATTAAAAGGATGTTTTCTGTATGTATAACAACGAAATGCCCTCCAACGGAAATATATTAATTTATAAAACAAGACCCAGTCAAAGAATGTAGAAATTAAGCCCGGAAGCTGATATAGATTTCATGCGCAAACATTTAATAATGAATTATTATTCATATTTAATTTACTGATATTTTTTTCATTTTCAAAGTACTTGTTTTTGCATTCTAAATTATGAAGTCAATTTTTACTGTATTTAAAGAACTCAATTTCGACATTGGTAAAAACCTTATTTAAACAATACTCTTTTATCACTCAGTGACAATAATTAAAAAATTTTATTCTTTTTAGACACCTACAATGGTTATATTTGGAGAGAAAGATAGATCACGAAATTCAGCCTTACTGAGCTTGTTACCAATGAGTCAGTGTCAAGAAATACCTAATGGAAGCCATCCTGCATATCTTGATAATCCAAACCTGTGGCATCAACTTTTGTACAATTTCTTATGTCACCTTTCAAAAACATATTGTTTAGAGTAACAACAAATTTTGTTTGTTTGAATGCTGATTTCTTATCAACTAGAAGTAGAAGAGATATACTCGCATATTTTTACAAAGGTATTTTTATATTACAGATTTAACATTAAAATGTTGATTAAACTAATCTTGATTCCTACTAGTTTAAGAACCAGTTCAATATTTTAATTCTTTGTTAGTTTCTAATTTGACTATGAGTATATATGTAGTGATTTCAAAGCACAGTTGTGATGGCTGAATGGTAGGGCGAGAGGAAGAAGTTGATACTAAACCTAAGTTCAGCTAATTATCATCTTTATTTCCAGGCACATTAGAATACAATGAAAATCATTTAACACAAAATGGAGCGACTGAAATATTTTTCGTGCAAAAAGGATTTCATGTTAAAGGATATTGAAAAAAATAGATTAATTATTCAACAAAATTAAGTTTATTACAGTACATTTTATTTACACAGACATGTTTTTAATAAAAATCAATGAAACAAAAATATCCACAAGAACTTAATACAAAATTTAAGTTTTTTTTTCAAAAATAAAACATCTATTGAGTTTTTGGGAGGGGGGGGGAACCTTTTCTCTTTGCATTGTCTTTTCTTAGCATCAAATTGTTTGATGTCATACATTTTGTTATTCATTTCAGCATTGGAATGTGCATCTAAATAACTGTGCATGCTTTTCATAATGTTCCTCATTTCGGATGATGTGGGAACAGGAGCTGCATTAATCATTTCATTTTTGTTGTTAAAATCTGCATCAATGATATATTTTAGCTTTAAACAAGGTCCAAACTATCTTTTCCTGCCATAACTGGGACTGTACAACATTATCATCATCTACTGCAACGGATTCTTCCGATAATACAGTAGGAACAGTCCAATAACACAGAAACTTTCAAACATTTCATTAAGTGTCGGCTCAGTTTCTATATCCTCCTTCTTCATTTCTGGTTCGAATCCCGCGAACGGGCTGGCTGCATGGGCGTTTTCGTTGGTTTTCCCCATGTGTAACGTATATACGAGCCAGTTCCCCTTAGAAAGTCCTCCACGAAGGCATCCCTCCTTTTAGGCAGATAGCCCTCGTGTGCTTTGCCATAATTAAATAATCCATCCAAATCCAATCCTTCTTCATTTCTTTTGGCACGAACCAAACTGATTTTTACACATACTGCAATGTACTTATCAATATTTCCAAAGCCAACTGATAAGAGATGAGATGTTTTTGTGTGGCGTTTGTAGGGGTGGAGGGTGAAAGTAGCTTAAATAAACAAAATTGGCTCATGTCACAGGCTATTCTGAGCCAAATTAATTTCAAAGCCAAAGCCTTTCTACGAAACATGTGAAACCACCTCTCTCATTTTACATCCCCCTTAAACTTCGCCTGCCCGGCTGGTTTTTCCCGTATTTTGTTCATTCCCAGAAGGGAAATCTTTTTGTGTTTAGTAATCTTCCTTTTGTGAAGCATGAAAATACATAGTAGTTTGTCGGGAACGTTGTATTATTTTGTGTATCCAATATTTTGTTTTAAGCGTTTCCGTGTTAAACGTATTTCACTGTAATTCCTTGTAGACAACGTACTCTTTAATCATGCAATTATAATAATTTATTTTTTTTTTTTTTTTTTTTTTTTTTTTAAAGAATGATGCAGGCATTTTAAAGAAGCAAAGTGGGAAGATATTAGCAATGTAGAAAAATAAAATATGTTTAAAATCCATCCCATATCCAATTCGGAACAAATATGCAAAAATAAAAATCCAGAAGTATAGTGGCAAACTGCACGATAGGTGCAAAAAATGCCAAAACTAAAAAAGAAAATTCATATCTTTTACTGCATAGTCATCAGAGGGAGGGGGTGCAATGGAAGAAATAAATACACCAGCCTGTTTTTGAACTAACAAAGACACAAATTATAAATTTAATATTTAATATAATCTCAGAAAATTGTTCAAAGTGATCCGTGTCTCTATAATTCCAATTCTTACAGCCTGTAGCTATGGCCTGTAGGAGTTAGGCTGACAAAGCCATTGATTACTTTGAATAATTTAAGGTAAAGGCCTGCAGTGAAGGGTGTAAATTATTTGGTTTTGGCATTTTTTGCACCTATCATGCAGTGTAATATAAACCTACTATATGCAATTTTTGTAACATTTTTTAAAGTTAATGCTTATTAAACCCAGTGAGACAGGTGTTTATATATCATTAGGAATTCAGTATAATTAAATTAGTAATAAAATTAGAATATTATGCAAAATAAGGAAAATATCAATGATTGAGTGCTAAATTATATTAATTATTTAAAAGCATAACTTAAAATTATATATCTGATCTATACCAATAACTTATTAAAGAAGTAAAAATCGAGTACGTACCTACTATATAAAATATGTTAAGGAAATGTTTTATATGTTGAAGAAATTTTGTATTAAAAAATTCTTTGAGCTAAGATCGTTATTCTTCTTCTATAAACTGAATGAGTATAAATTGTTGTACAAATCAGATTTACTTTTTGCTAATGTTGGTCAATTAAAAAATTTATTTTATTACTTACTGTACAGTTCTTAGATATACAAAATAATATTCTGAATGTTTATGTATATTAAAAATTGTATTACAGTTATCAATTGAAAATTTAAAAAATAAAATTTATTAATAATGTATTTTTATAAAAAATATTTCAATAAAGATATATATGCTCTATGAACTTATTTCTGTACTTTTACATTTATCTTATGCCATGCATTTCCCAAAACACCTCGTAAATTCCATATAGGAGGAAAAGAATCAGGTTGAACATTGTATGATGAATCCACTGCTTTACATATGATTTGCACCTCTGAATTGCTGCTCATTTCTACAGGAACAGATACCTTAAAAGAAATTTTAAAATACATTCTTAATTTACAAAAGATAAATCTAAAAACAGGATATAAATATTCTCATATGTATCAGAACACATACAGTATTTAGATGCTAAATTTCATTTTTGGAAACATGAAAAAAATCTTAATTTTTTAAAATATATATATGCATTTTAAAAACAGCATGTTTGCAAAAGATGGTTACAGGCTTTATTTCTTGAAATTCTAATCCTCAGTATTTACTTTCAAGTATATTATTTTCTTCAAGTCAGTTACGATTACACATAAATAACAAGTACTGTTACTCTCAAAGTAATAGCATTACTCACTAAAACAACAATTCATCTATCTTTTTACCTATTTTTATAGCTGTGTTCTATTAGAAGCACGTCCATGCATTTAAAAAAATAAAGCCAGTAGCTAAATTTTTTTAAAAAACTTTTGTGATCTACATTCATAGATGAAAATGAAATTTTGAATGCAATGGTAGTGATGTATTGAAGAATGCATACAGAATAATTTTATATTCAAAAGTGAAATCTTATTTCAAGAAAATGCAGATGACCCTTGGTATATATGGATTTGAATTGTAAGGGTTTGCTTCTATTCAGATTTTCCTTTTTTTCTGATAAATGTACTGAAAAATATTTTGGGGATACATGGTAATTTGAAAAATTAGTAAAAAAATGATCTAGCCTAAAATTTTTAAAAATCTTTAAACAAGTAGGTACATTATGGATGCATGAAATATACAGGATGTTTATAAAGTCCCGGACCCATTTTGATGTTTAATAAATCATAAAATAATGGAAGATATAAACAAACTTATGGCATTTATTGATGGAATACCTTATATATTTTCCTTTTCAGGTTTGAATATCTTTACTTTTGTAAATATCTTCTGCGCGTATGGTTAATTTCAGATAATTTCATTTTCAAGTCTAAATATCTGTACTTTTCTAAATATCGTCTGCTTATTAATTGCATTTTTCTCTCTTTTGTTTTTGGCAACTATTGCAATGTTATGTTTACTTTTGATGTGTTTGTTCTAGTACTTTTGTATGTGATGACACATGTCTTTTTGCAACAAGATAGTGCACCACCTCATTGGGGTACCATCGTTCGCAGTTCTTTGAATGATCATTTTACAGGAAGATGGATTGGGCGAGGAGGTCCAATTCCTTGGCCACTCAGATCACCTGATGTAATGCCACTGTTTTTTTTTCCTTTGGGTATTTGTAAAGGACAACGTTTAAAGGATGAGAGTGTCGAACATTGATGACCTGAAAGCCAGAATCACAACTACAATAGCCTCTGTGGATACCGAGATGCTTGCCGGAACCTGGCGTGAAATTGAATATCGACTTGATATTCTCTGTGCGACGAAGGGGGGCACACGTGGAAGTTCATTGACAAGGGTCATGAGACGTTTTGAGTCTATCAAACCATTTATGTTATTAATTTTAATCTATAATATTTTATGAGTTATTAAACATCAAAATGGGTCTTGGACTTTATAAACACCCTGTATTTGTATATATGTGTAAATGATAACTATATGCAGAAACGGAGTGATTTATCTGATGTCCAAAAGGGCATGATCGTTGACTTACAGCCAAGGATGGAAGCATTTCTGAAATGGCTAATTTTGTAAACAGTTGATGTGATGCTGTGATAAAAGTATATCGACCATGGCAAAATGGCACTATCCAAAATCAGCGACCTGGCAAATTTGGTGCACAACGGGCCACAGATGACAGAGGTGAATGCCTGGAGAGATGCGTTTGGGTGAATAGTCCTGCGACCATTACGCAATTGACTGCCCAGATGAAGCAATTGAGGCTACCAACAGTGTCTCCTCAATGGCGGTTCAGTGAATGTTGCTGCATATGGGCTTCTGCAGCAGTTGCCTGGTTAAGGCGCCTATGCTGACTGCAGTTTACTGGTGACAAAGGTTGGAATTTGCATGCCAGTACTGCAACTGGACGTCCACCGAGTGGCCACAGGTGGCTTTTCTGATAATTCACATTTTATGCTCCATCAGACAGATGGACTTTGTCCTATATGTCACAAAGCAAACACCCTGCAACAATTGCCAGAAAGGTCCAGGATGGAGAAAGGAGCCTTATAGTCTGAGGAATGTTTTCATGTCATTATCTGGGTATATTTCTTATTGTGGAAGGCTCAACAGAAATACGCATTTGTCCTTGTGAACCATGTCCACCCCTATACACAAATTGTTTATTCTCAGAATGTTGGCATCTATCAACAGGACAATGCAAAGTGCCATACAGCTTGCAGTGTGGTTCGAAGAGCACCAGGATGAGTTCACAGTACTCTCTTGGTCAGCAAACTTCCCGGACATAAACCCAATCGAGAATCTGTGGGACCACCTTGATTGAGTTGTATGTGTTATGGATCCTCAACTGAGTAACCTACAGCTGGCCACTACAATGGAAGCGGCATGGCTCAACGTCCCAGTAAACATCTTCAAGAACCTAATCAACTCTTTTCCTGCATGTCTCGAAGTGGTTCACTCTGCGAAAGTTGGTCATTCTGGCTTTTGACATTAATGTGACTGGACTGTGTATATAGAAAAGTACAGATAAATAAAAAATTAAGCAAAGCACATATTGTGCTATTGGAACAATTTCATAACCTTTTAAACTCAATTTATAAATAATACACTTTTACAAAGACGTTCAAGAATAACAATCTGATTTTTTTCATGGAGTGAAATATAATATTTAAACAATAAAAATTATCATTAATTATAAATTTTAATATTTTCATTTTAACTTAGAAAGTGATAAATATAAGATGCAAAATAGTATTAAGAAAAACTTACTCTCCATAATGTCCATGCCCAACATTTGTACAAAGGACTAGAATCTTGCTGCAAATCAGCAACATGCCATGTTTTTCCTCCATCTGCTGAAACATCAACTCTTACAATTTTCCTACCCCCACCACTCCATGCATATCCTTCAACTTTAATTAAACCATTCTGCAGCATTACAGAACTACCATCTGAAGGTTTGCAGATAGCAGAGTTCACAGGCAATTCTTGAATAGCTGGAGCTGTTTTGAAATCTACATTATCCCAATTTGTAGATGGAGAGAAACCTTTAAAAATAACACTTGGAATCATTATTTTTAAAAGCAGGTAAGAGAAAAAAATATATCGATACCTATATACCTATAATGCTTATCTAACTGCATCATGTCCACTGAATCAAATAAAAGGAACTAGCGTATAACAGACCTTCTTAAAGGTATGAAACTGAAAGAAATGAGAATGGTGCACTCGTGCAGAACTCAAAAAAAGTAAAAAATAAAAATAAATTGCATGTAGTGACTTAAATTATATATAATTAAGAGCTATATTAAGTTATATATAATTACTTAATTATATATAACAATATTACTTTCTCCTATCCTCTCTCATTCAAAAAAATAAATTAGTTAACATATAAATATATTCAGAATATATGCTACTGCAAATGAGAAGAAAAATTGTAATATTTATTTATTTATTTATATACACTGACGAGCCAAAACATTACAAACCATCCTACATTTTTCAACGAACTCGTCTGGATGACATGAAGGGAAGTTATAATGATTCTAAAATGATATTAGTATAACTATACATTAAAAGATACAAAAAAAATTAAGTTCTGTTGCAACAACAAACAACAAAATGTTTACATGTCTTTTTAGCTCGAAAATTTTCTAGATATTTTAGCTAATTTACACTGATTTCTTTCTCTTTAGGATATTTCCTAAGTTTTCAATGAACAAATAAGTTTTGCTCGTGTGCCATAGTGGGGGTCTAAATGCTCTTTTCAAGAGGTAAACCCCAGATAGACGTCTCTTTTGTCCCTTAACCTCTTAACTAGTTCCTCTCTCTGGCCCATAAAGACTTCTTTTAGTGAATGCTCTCTCTTATTTATTTCAGTTTTTATTAATGATGATGTGGAGGTAATTGCATTTAAATGCAAAAGTACTCCATACTCAAAACGCCAAGGTCTGGGCAGAAAAAAATTAGGGCAAGCATTTGATGTATGTATGGTGTACTGAGACATATATGATGAATCTTTTAATTAACTGTTGGTTTTAATTTTCTTTGATTTTTCTGACTGCTTTAATACTTATGTCTTGTGTAAAAGTAAGAAAATAAAGGGAAGAATGAAGATATTTAAGATTTCTGGGATCAAAAGGAGAAAATTCAAATAATTTTCTTTTTACTTTTATTCCAAAAATTCTCCAAAAGATACAGGGTGACAATTATTAAACTATATGAAATAAAACCATCATAACTTCTGAACAGTTTGAGTGATGAAGTTCAAACTTCGTGGTTGACCACTGCGCATGATGAGAACTAGTATGCGCATGCAACTTGTTATTGTCGGCCATTTTTAAGTGAAAACATCATGGTACAGTGTGTGAGGCCTATTATGCGAGCAATAACAGCCTGATTGCAGCTCAGAGGAAGTTTGCAACTCAGTACAAGCTGAAGACAACCGGTCCATGTGTGCTAACAATCAAGAATTTGATTTGCAAGTTTCAGAGAACTGGTAGTGTTTGTAATGACAGTGATGGCTATGTCAGAGAACAAACAAGTGTGAAAACGCCTGAAAACATTGCGAAGATATGCACGTTTCAAACCAGCCCAACGAAATCGATCAGATGAGTTGCACATTAAGTGGGATTCAACAGGAAGGCCCTGCGACAAATTGTTGTTGAAGACCTGTAACTCTTCCCATACAAAATTCAAACCCATCAGCCATTAAGGCCCATGGCCATGGAACAATGGTTGTGTTTCACCAGCTGAGAGAATTGACGAACAGGAATTTGATGTGAATATGGTTTGGTTTAGCGACAAAGCCTACTTCTATTTGGATTGGTTCATCAATAAACAAAATTGGCCCATTTGGGAGGGGCTGAGAATTCGCATTTTGCGATCGAGAAGTCTCTCCATCTTCAACGGATGACTGTGTGGTGTGCAATGTCCAGTCATGGAATAATCGATTCGATATTCATTGATGGCACATATGACTATTGAAGGAAGGTGAAGGTTTTAAAAAACGATTTCATCCCTATTATCCAAAGTGCCCCTGATTTCGACAAGATGTGGTTCATGCAATACGGAGCTTGAACCCACCAGAGCAAGAGAGTGCTTGATGTCCTGCAGGAAGGAGCATTTTGAGGACAGCATTCTGACTCTGGGGTACCCAGTGGCCACTGGAATGGGACTCGTTTGGCCACCATACTCTCTGGATCTGAACATGTGTGACTCATTTTTGTGGGGCTATACTAAAGACAATGTGTACAGAAATAACCAGACAGAAATTTTCCTTTTCTTTTTTTCTAAGAAGTGTTTGCAAAACTGTGCTTCATAGCATTTATTATCTTGTTTATTTTTCAGAATCAAATATTTCAAAGTCAACAAAATGGAAAGTAATGTCACTTTAAAATAATGGCAAAGAAAAATAAAAATGTTTTATTTTAATGTTATTTTAAAAATATAATTGTCATTTATTATCATTATTTTCAGGATATTTATCAGTGTTATTATGATTGTAAAAACAATTAAAAATCTTGCAAATCTCTGAATAAAAGATTTTGTATACCAATTGATTTTGAAATTGCCAAAATGTCGATAAGTCGCCAAATTTAGAGCCACATAATAAAAGAATTTTTATCTCAAAAAGGGAAGTTGTTTTTGACATAATATTTTATGAAGTCTTCATTAGCAAAAAAAGAATTACTTCGAAATGTTCATGTTTCAATTGAAACAGGGCCTCGTATCTAAAACTAGAGTACCCACCATTTACATCAAGAAGTAAGAAAAAATTCTAATGTTAACCCATTAAATACATATTTATGAATGCATAGCCAAAAATATTTCTCCAAAATTTTGATTCACATGCAAAATGACAAGAGGGGAAAAGAAAAAAAAAAAAAAAAAGAGAGAAATGTTAGATGAGTAAAATTAAGGACCTTTTGCCGGTTTTAGACAAAATTAAGGACTTTAAAGGACCAAAAAACCTAAGGACTTTTTAAGTATTTTTAAGACAGTATCAACTCTGCCCTTCCTGTTGGAATAACTTTGCTGAGAAATTAAACAGTGTGTTAAGTTGCCTAATTGTCTTCACCAATCCATATATTAACATTTGGTGATGATAGGATAAGATCACATTTAGATGATAGGACAGGATCTGTAGAAAATTATTTCTTAGCAGTTAATGAAAGAACTGTTTTATGGCTGTTTATGAAACTGTTTAGTTACATCAAGTATCTAAAAGTAATAAATATTTCAATAAATTATCTATGCGTGAAATGAAACACCAAGCTCTTCTTTATGTTACATATATGTGGCAACACACTAGTTCAAACTGAAGTGAAGTAATTGTCAGTTGATGTTGGTCTGGAATAAACAATGTGCTATGTGAGAATGTTGTAATGAACTTAATTATAGATCAATAAATATTAATATGATTAAAACATGGCATAGTCGTGTGGAATAGTATTACAACTAATTGCCAAGCAATACCTTTTTTTGTTTTTCCTCTCAGCAGACGCAAGATGGAATTTTGTCGCCCACCGCAAGGTCTATGTTTCGATGGCAATGTGGCTGAAAATTGACGCAGATTCAAGCAGCTGTTAAAGATTTATATGAAAGCTTCAGGGATGCTTCAAAAGATTCAGATGTGACAGTTGCTTTATTTTTAAATGCCGCTGGTGAGGAACACGCTCAATCTTTCAACAGGAGATCAGGGTAACTATGAAAAAGTGCTTGAGAAGTTTGAAGCTTTCATGACGCCTAGAACAAATGTTGTAGTGGAGAGATTTTTATTCAATAAGAGAAAACAAGAAGGGGAACTTTTTGATTGTTTCGTGACTGACCTGAAAAAATTTGTAAAATCTTGCGAATTTGGTGAGCAGAGTGACTCTGTCATACGTGATCGCATTGTCCTTGGAGTATCAGATGCCAGTTTACAGGCGAGGATGCTGCGAGAAAATAATCTGAGTTTGGAAAAAGCAATTAAATTAGGGAAAGCAGCTGAATTGAGCAATGCTTGTGCTCAAACATTAAAAGGACACAATGCTGACAGCGTAACTAGAGGGAAAGTGAAGCAACATCTGGCAGGAGAAGCCAATGCAGCCTTAGCAGTGAGAAAGCACAGAGGATGGCGTAATGACACTTCAAATACTGAGAAATCTTTATGTAAAAAATGCAACAGACATCACGTTAATGGATAGCATCCGGCATATGAAAAAAAAAAATGCTTTAATTGTGGCAAACTAAATCACTTTTCGACTATGTGCAGACTGAAGCACGTCCAAAATGTTTCTCAGCATGATAATGCAGATGTACCAGGTTGTTCAAACTGAGATATTGTTTGAGGTGTGGGAAGAGCCAGAAGTCGGAGGGAGCTAAATCTGGCAAATAGGCTGGATGTTGCAACAATTCATACTTCAATTCAGTTATTTTAGCAATGGTTTTTTGAGCTGTGTGCACAGGTGCGTTATCTTGGTGGAAAATGATTTTCTTCTTCTGTAATCCGGGTCTTCTTTCACGAATTTTTTCGTCTAATTGATTCAAAAGGTTACAATAATAATCCGAATTACTTGTTTTGCCAGTTTGAAGGTAATCTATAAACAAAATTCCTTTCACATCCCAAAAAACTGATGCTAACACCTTCTTGGCTGATTTTTGCACACGAACTCGCTTCGGCGCTGAAGAGCCGGGTTCACACTACTCCTTAACCTCCTGGTTTGATTCAGGATCATGATGGTAGACCCAAGTCTCATTAACTGTGATAAATCAACGGATAAAGTTGCTTTTATTCTTCTTAAAATGCTCCAAATGTTGCTGGCAAAGTCGCATCCGAATGTGTTTTTGCTCCATCGTTAGAGAATGTGGCACCCATTTTGCACAGAGTTTTTGAAACCCAAATTAACACTCAAAATATTGCTCACTGCGCCCAATAAAATGCCTAAAGCCTCTGTTAAATCTCTTTCAGTCAATCGACGATCTTCCAATACCATATCTTGTATTTTTCCGATGATTTCCGGTGTTGATGCAGTTTTTGGACGTCCCTCTCGCGGATCGTCTT